TGTAAACACTTGATCTACAATCCCCTACCCACTCTGAAGCCTCCCTGCTCATCCGCAATTCTACATTCTGCTTACCTCTAATTCTTTCAATTATAACCCTACCGTATTCTTTTTCTGGTATACTCAGTAAAATCTTATTCCTCTATAATTTTTACAATCTCTTTTGTCCCCTTTCCCTTTATATAAAGGGACTATACATGCTCTCCGCCAATCCCTAGGTACCTTCCACTCTTTCATACATTTATTAAACAAAAGTACCAACCACCTCCAACACTATATCCCCCCCTGCTTTTAACATTTCTGTCATGATCCCATCATTCCAGCTGCTTTAACAACCCCCTTTCATTCTACGTAATGCCTCACGTACCTCCACCACACTTACATTCTGCTCTTCTTCACTCCTAAAAGATGGTATACCTCCCTGGCCAGTGCATTAAATTACCGCCTCCATTTCTTCCTCAACATTTAAAAGTTCCTCAAAATATTCTCGCCATCTACCTAATACCTCCCTCTCCCCCATCTACTAACTCCCCTACTCTGTTTTTAAACTGACAAATCCATACTTTCCCTAGGCTTTCTTAACTTGTTTAACTCACTCCAAAAATTTTTCTTATTATTCATTAAAATTTCTTGACAGTGCCTTTCCCACTCTTTCATCTGCTCTCCTTTTGCACTCTCTCACCACTCTCTTCACCTTTCTTTACTCTCCATATACTCTGCTCTTCTTATAACACTTCGCTTTGTAAAAACCTCTCGTAAGCTACCTTTTTCTCTTTTATCACACCCTTTACTTCATCATTCCACCAATCACTCCTCTTTCCTCCTGCCCCCACCCTCTTATGACCACAAACTCTGCCCCACATTCTAATACTGCATTTTTAAAACATTTCAACCCTCTTCAACCCCCCCCCCCCACTACTCATCTTTGCACTAGCCAACCTTCTGCCAATAGGCGCTTATATCTCGCCCGAACTTCCTCCTCCCTTAGTTTATACACTTTCAACCTCCTCTTACTTGTTGTTGTCACCTTCCTCTTTTCCCATCTACCTCTTACTCTAACTGTAGCTACAACTAAATAATGATCCGATATATCAGTTGCCCCTCTATAAACAAGTACATCGTGGAGCCTACCCATCAACCTTTTATCCACCAATACATAATATAACAAACTACTTTCCATTACGTGCTACATCATACCTTGTATATTTATTTATCCTCGTTTTCATAAAATATGTACTACTTATTACCAAATTTCTTTCTATACATAGCTCAATTAAAGGCTCCCCATTTACATTTACCCCTGGCACCCCAAAATTTACCTAATACTCCCTCCTAACATTTTTACTCACTTTAGCATTGAAATCCCCAACCACCATTACTCTCACACTTGATTCAAAACTCCCCACGCACTTCACTCAACATTCCCAGAATCTCTCTCTCTCAATCTACACTTCTCTCTTCTCCAGGTGCATACACGCTTATTATAACCCACTTTCACATCCATCTTTATTTTACTCCACATAATCCTGAATTTATACATTTGTAGTCCCTCTTTTCCTGCCATAGCTTATCCTTCAACATTATGCTACTCCTTCTTTAGCTCTAACTCTATTTGAAACCCCTGACCTAATCCCATTTATTCCTCTCCATTGAAACTCTCCCCACCCCCTTCAGCTTTGTTTCACTTAAAGCCAGGACATCCAGCTTCTTCTCATTCATAACATCCACAATCATTTCTTTCATATCATTTGCACAACATCCACGCACATTCAGACTTCCCACTTTGACAATTTTCTTCTTCTTATTCTTTTTAGTAATCTTTACAGGAAAAGGGGTTACTACCCATTGTTCCCGGCATTTTAGTTGACTTTTACAACACGCATATATATAATATATATATAATATATAATATATAATATATATATATATATATATATATAAATATATATATATATATATATATTATATATATAAATATATATATATATATATATATATACATATATATATACATACATACATACATACATATATAAAATTGTTTTATATAGCAAGCCTATCCTTACCAGTCTACCCAGAAGAACTGTCAAAAAACTGTTAAACACTAACAACTAAACACTTTTAGTAGTCCTGTAAACTAGCTAGTGAGAAGAGTTGTAAAGTGTCACTTATAAATAACCACCACCATGAAAAACTGAGCAGTCTGCAGAAGGGTAACAGACGAAGTCATACCTGGATTGCATGCAATATTTGTGGTAAATGATCCCATGGGTCAGGCGAGAACTTTAAACCAGTGACCACCTTTGATATAAAATCAGAGAGATATTTTTAGGTCTGCCCAAACGAGATACACTGTGGGAGAAAATTACATCTATATTAAAAGATAAGAACACTAATAAAATATCCTTCTTGAAAGACATGTGAGCCTGGTATGACACCTGGGAAAATAAAATGTGTGGGATGGATGGCGCTGTCTTGGACGACAGTTCTCCAGAGGGTACTAGTTTTGTCCTGGAGGACAGTGCTCCAGAGGGTGCTAGTTTTGTCGTGGAGGACAGTGGTCCAGAGGGTGCTAGTTTTGTCCTGGAGGACAGTGCTCCAGAGGGTGCTAGTTTTGTCGTGGAGGACATTGCTCCAGAGGGTGCTAGTTTTGTCCTGGAGGACAGTGCTCCAGAGGGTGCTAGTGCTGTCCTGGAGGGCAATGCTCCAGAGGGTGCTAGTTTTGTCCTGGAAGACAGTGCTCCAGAGGGCTAGTGCTGTCTTGGAGGACAGTGCTCCAGAGAGTGCTAGTTTTGTCCTGGAGGACAGTGCTCCAGAGGGTGCTAGTTTTGTCGTGGAGGACAGTGCTCCAGAGGGTGCTAGTTTTGTCCTGGAGGACAGTGCTCCAGAGGGTGCTAGTGCTGTCCTGGAGGGCAATGCTCCAGAGGGTGCTAGTTTTGTCCTGGAAGACAGTGCTCCAGAGGGCTAGTGCTGTCCTGGAGGACAGTGCTCCAGAGGGTGTTAGTGTTGTCCTGAAGGACAGTGCTCCAGAGGGTGGTAGTGTTGTCCTGGAAGACAGTGCTCCGGAGGGTGCTAGTGTTGTCCTGGAGGACAGTACTCCAGAGGGTGTTAGTGTTGTCCTCTAGGACAACGCTCCAGAGGGTGTTAGTGTTGTCCTGGAGGACAGTGCTCCAGAGGGTGCTAGTGATGTCCTGGAGGACACTGCTCCAGAAGGTGCTAGTGTTGTCCTGAAGGACAGTGCTCCTGAGGGTGCTAGTGTTGTCCTGGAGGACAGTGCTCCAGAGGGTGCTAGTGTTGTCCTGGAGGACAGTGCTCCAGAGGGTGCTAGTGTTGTCGTGGACGACACTGCTCCAGAGGGTGCTAGTGTTGTCCTGGAGAACACTGCTCCAGAGGGTGCTAGTGTTGTCCTGGAGGACAGTGCTCCAGAGATGTAAGCCATAGTCCCATGTCTTCCTTTGCAGATGACACCCGAATTGCATGACAGTGTCCTCCATCGAAGACACCGCAAGACTCCAAGCGGACATCAACCGAATCTTCAAATAGGCCTCTCAAAACAATATAAAGTTCAATGAAGAGAAATTTCAATTGCTCAAATATGGAAAACTTGAGGAAATTAAAACTGTACCAGGGTATACAACAAATTCTGACCATACAATGTGAAGGACCTGGGAGCAATAATGTCAGAGGATCTCACCTTCAAAGACCACACCAATGTATCTACCGCATCTGCTAGAAAAATGATAGGATGGATAATGAGAACCTTCAAAACTAGGGATGCCAAGTCCATGATGATTCTCTTCAAATCGTTTGTTCTCTCTAGATTGGAATGCTGCTGTACACTAACTGCCCTCTTCAAGGCAGGCGAAATTGCTGACCTGGAAAGTGTACAAAGAACTTTCACGGCACACATAAGTACAGTAAAGTACCTAAATTAGTGGAAAAGGTTGAAGTCCCTTGATTTGTATTCCCTGGAACGCAGGTGAGAAAGATACATGATAATATACTTTTGGAAAATCCTAAAGGGAGTGGTACCAAACTTGCACACGAAAATCACTCCCTGTGAGAGCAAAAGACTCGGTAGGAGATTCAACATCCAACCAATGAAAAGCAGGGGCTCCACGAGTACACTGAGCGACAATACAATAAGTGTCATGGCCCATGCCTTCCAGTATACATAAGGGGGACTACCAATAGACCCCAGGCTGTTTTCAAGAAGGCGCTGGACAGGCACCTGAAGTTAGTGCCTGGCCAGCCGGACTATGGTTCGTACGTCAGTTTGCGTGTGGCCAGCAATAACAGCCTGGTTGATCAGACCCTGATCCACCACGAGGCCTGGTCTCAGACCGGACCGCGGGGGCGTTAACCCCCGAAACCCTCTCCAGGTATACTTCAGGTAGTATATAGATATATAATATAATATATATATATATATATATATATAATATATATATATATATATATATATATATGTATATATAATATATAATATATATATATATATATATATATATATATATATATATATATATATATATATATATATATATATATATATATATATATATATATAATATATATATATATATATATATATATACCTAGAGTTGCGTATTTCTTAGTGAATATAGAAGGTGTACGATTTTTAATCTACGTAGCACGGCAATTCTTTTTTTTAAATTTAACATATTCATCACTGAGACTTTCGGTCGAAATAGGCATCAAAATTTTCCCTTGATAAGCTTAGAAAAATTAAAGGTTATTTGATAATTCAGACTTACAGGACAGAAAAAACCCTATTTATCTAATTTCATATTTGATCATAAATGGATCGACGTCAGTCATAAATATACTGGGTTATTAATTCTAAGTTAACTTTTGTGTTATGTAAAGTTTAAACTGGCAAGTTACCACCTGTGTTACGTGACGTTTTAATGACTATATTATCTTTTATGCTACGTTTATCGTAGAGGTCACTTGTGTTAAGTAATGTTTTAATTTGTAAACTATCTTGTGTGTTATGTAAATCGTAAAACCTGTTGCTTGGAAGTGGTTGACAGTAAGAAGTGAGTAAGACAACTTACCTTGAGGTGAGTCTCTCTCTGGGGACTGTAGTGGCTTCTCCAGTCACTCTGCTGGTTCTTGTCAGCCTCGTGGCTCCTCTCAGCTTTGTGGCTCCTGTTAACTTTGTTGCTTCTGTCAACCTTGTTGCTTCTGTCAACCTTGTTGCTTCTGTTACCATTGTTGCTTCTGTCAACCTTGTTGCTTCTGTTACCCTTGTTGCTTCTGTCAACCTTGTTGCTTCTGTCAACCTTGTTGCTTCTGTCAACCTTGTTGCTTCTGTCAACCTTGTTGCTTCTGTCAACCTTGTTGCTTCTGTCAACCTTGTTGCTTCTGTCAACCTTGTTGCTTCTGTTACCCTTGTTGCTTCTGTCAACCTTGTTGCTTCTGTCAACCTTGTTGCTTCTGTCAACCTTGTTGCTTCTGTCAACCTTGTTGCTTCTGTCAACCTTGTTGCTTCTGTTACCTTTGTTGCTTCTGTCAACCTTGTTGCTTCTGTTACCCTTGTTGCTTCTGTCAACCTTGTTGCTTCTGTTACCCTTGTTGATTCTGTCAACCTTGTTGATTCTGTTGCCCTTGTTGCTTCTGTTGCCCTTGTTGCTTCTGTCAACCTTGTTGCTTCTGTTACCCTTGTTGCTTCTGTCAACCTTGTTGCTTCTGTTGCCCTTGTTGATTCTGTCAACCTTGTTGATTCTGTTGCCCTTGTTGATTCTGTCAACCTTGTTGATTCTGTCAACCTTGTTGCTTCTGTTACTCTTGTTGATTCTGTCAACCTTGTTGCTTCTGTCAACCTTGTTGCTTCTATCAACCCTGTTGCTTCTGTCAGCCTTGTTAATTCTGTCAACCTTGTTGCTTCTGTCAACCTTGTTGCTTCTGTTACCCTTGTTCCTTCTGTCAACCTTGTTGCTTCTGTTACCCTTGTTGCTTCTGTCAACCTTGTTGCTTCTGTCAACCTTGTTGCTTCTGTTACCCTTGTTGCTTCTGTCAACCTTGTTGCTTCTGTCAACCTTGTTGCTTCTATCAACCTTGTTGCTTCTGTCAACCTTGTTGCTTCTGTCAACCTTGTTGATTCTGTCAACCTTGTTGCTTCTATCAACCTTGTTGCTTCTGGGCCATCTTGTTTTATTCTGTCAACCTTGTTGCTTCTATCAACCTTGTTGCTTCTGTCAACCTTGTTGCTTCTGTCAACCTTGTTGATTCTGTCAACCTTGTTGCTTCTATCAACCTTGTTGCTTCTGTCAACCTTGTTGCTTCTATCAACCTTGTTGCTTCTGTCAACCTTGTTGATTCTGTCAACCTTGTTGCTTCTATCAACCTTGTTGCTTCTGTCAACCTTGTTGCTTCTGTCAACCTTGTTGCTTCTGTTACCCTTGTTGCTTCTGTCAACCTTGTTGTTTCTGTTACCCTTGTTGCTTCTGTCAACCTTGTTGCTTCTGTTACCCTTGTTGCTTCTGTCAACCTTGTTGCTTCTGTTACCTTTGTTGATTCTGTCAACCTTGTTGATTCTGTCAACCTTGTTGCTTCTATCAGCCTTGTTGCTTCTGTCAACCTTGTTGCTTCTGTCAACCTTGATGCTTCTGTTACCCTTGTTGATTCTGTCAACCTTGTTGCTTCTGTCAACCTTGTTGATTCTGTCAACCTTGTTGCTTCTATCAACCTTGTTGCTTCTGTCAACCTTGTTGCTTCTGTCAACCTTGTTGCTTCTATCAACCTTGTTGCTTCTGTCAACCTTGTTGCTTCTGTCAATCTTGTTGCTTCTGTTACCCTTGTTGCTTCTGTCAACCTTGTTGCTTCTATCAACCTTGTTGCTTCTGTCAACCTTGTTGCTTCTGTCAACCTTGTTGCTTCTGTTATCCTTGTTGATTCTGTCAACCTTGTTGCTTCTGTCAACCTTGTTGCTTCTATCAACCTTGTTGCTTCTGTCAACCTTGTTGATTCTGTCAACCTTGTTGCTTCTGTTACCCTTGTTGATTCTGTCAACCTTGTTGCTTCTGTTACCCTTGTTGATTCTGTCAACCTTGTTGCTTCTGTTACCTTTGTTGATTCTGTCAACCTTGTTGCTTCTGTCACCCTTGTTGATTCTGTCAACCTTGTTGCTTCTGTTACCCCTTTTTGATTCTGTCAACCTTGTTGCTTCTGTCACCCTTGTTGATTCTGTCAACCTTGTTGCTTCTGTCAACCTTGTTGATTCTGTCAACCTTGTTGCTTCTGTCAACCTTGTTGATTCTGTCAACCTTATTGCTTCTGTCAACCTTGTTGATTCTGTCAACCTTGTTGTTTCTATCAACCTTGTTGCTTCTGTTACCCTTGTTGATTCTGTCAACCCTGTTGCTTCTGTTACCCTTGTTGATTCTGTCAGCCTTGTTGCTTCTGTCAGCCTTGTTGCTTCTGTTACCCTTGTTGATTCTGTCAACCCTGTTGCTTCTGTTACCCTTGTTGCTT